ACTATTTTAAAAAAATGAAATCTTGCCAAGAAAACTGCAGGGACTTGTCTAGGCAGTTGCCAGGAGTCAACACTGACTTGAAGAAGAAGGTACATGAATTAGAAACTAAAAGTATATATAAAAAGTGAGAATCTAAAAGAAAGGGTAGGAGCATTAGATGGGTGTAGGGGAGCATAAGAGGTTGGTGTGTGGAAGACTGTGCCTGTCAAGTTCCAAAGCACTCTTAATACAGTGAACTAGGTGCTTGTTGGCCGAGTCCCTATTCTTTGTGGGCTGTCTCCAAACGCTCCCCTTTCTTTCCCCCCACAGTTCTGAAAGCGTGAAGCAGAGGAGCGACGTCTTTTACCTCCAGCCAGAACGTTCGTGTGTCCCCAATAGCCCAATGTGGTATTCCACTATGCCAATAGATCCCGGGACTTTGGACATCATGTTAACGCGTATCCTCATGGTAAGGGAAGTGCACGAAGAACTTGCCAAAGTTAAACCGGAGGACTCGGATCCGGAGCTTTCGGACTAAACTTGGGCGAAGGGGAGGTTCTCTCTTTTGTTTGTTTGTTTGTTTTGGTTTTGTTTTCTTCCCTTTCCATGATACCTTGCAAAAAGCACCAAACTGAATGCACCCAGCCTTCAGAAAATCACCCATGTCACAAACCCCTCAGAAGGCACAGCGGAAGCTGCAACAGGTTGCAAAATGAGACTCGAAGGATGGAAAGTGGCAGAAGACGCAGGAACACTGGAGGGCTTTCAGTGGCTGCAAATGCTCGTGAAAACGTTCGATTAAGATGAACTGGAGACCTGTCTCTCCCCCCACCCCCAAGTGGTGCTTGTAGTGGAATAAAAAACAATTATGGATTTGTTTTTCTTAAAAAGGAAAGCAGTGGTGTATATCCTTCCCTCCTAACCATGGAAGCAAAAAAGCTAGATTAAGACCCCTGGGTGATCCATGGGGTTGCCTAACACTTGCTGTAGGACACAAAGCAGAACGTAGTTAAGACAGAAGCCCATGGAAATGCCATCTGTAACATACACACCATATCCCTTCCTTGCCCTGTCCCCTTTTATAATTTTCGTTTTTTTTTTAGGAAAAACTTGGGTTGTTCAAAAAGGCTGACTCAGCCAGAAGCTGAAGCAAAGAGGGGAAAACTTGGTGGACTGCTGTGACATTTTCTTGCTTTTGAAAACACTGGCAGCAGGAACAAACCAAGTTTAGCCAGGCCACCTCAACAGTGAACTCGCACACACATACGCAGCGACCCCATGCAAACAAACAGGGTTTGGTACTTGGTTCCCTCTGCCCCCACCCCTCCAAAACCACTTGACTGCTTTCATAATAGCAAGATATTCAAAAGTGGTTCCTGAGAAATTGTGCCGGCTCCCTCCCCATTTTTTTCCTTTAACTGGCCTAGGCAGCGACTTTTCCTCCACCACTCATTTCTAATTACTTTTACAAATTCAGGAGAATTGGGACTTCGGAGGCCTTGCAAATTTTTTGGTTGTTGCATTATCCCATTTGTTGTTTTAAACAAGGCATCATAACCCTTGATTAGCATGATGTGTGTACTGTCACTTCCATTCAAAAAGGCATAGAAATAAGATTCCAAATTTGAAAGAGAATTTGGGTGGCTTGGCTTTGCCTCCCCCTCCCTCTGGGTAGAAATCCCCTTTATCAAAACGCAGGGCGCGCAGGCTCAGCCAAGTCCGTTTCACCACGTTCCTCAAGCCGAAGACTTTTTCTCAGTCTCGAAGATCACTTTGAAAATTGAAACTATTTTTTAAAAAAAAAACAGAAAAAAATTGTATGTTTTTATTAGCAGTTTTGTCCATTCACCAAATTTCTAAAGAGTTCTTTAAAAAAAGAAAAAAAAGAAACACCCTGTTGGTCTCTCCAGCATTGAACAAAGCCTTTTGTGTATGTATGTGTGCGTGTGTGCGTGTGTGTGTTTGGGGTATTCTTTTTAACAGTAACAAAGGTTAACAATAAAATCAGAAAGTAGTCTTCTCTTTGGCTGTTGTGTACTTGATTGTTCTCTCCCCTGCCTGTAGTGAAATTGCTGGTGTATTTTTGGAATGCAGAAAACCCTGTGAAGTGAGTCTTTCCCAAGTACCTGCCCCCACGTGATTTCTGTAATCTAACTCCCCCTCACTCCCCACTTCCTCGTGCCCATCATTTTTAAGCAGATACTCCACATTTTATTTTATACATTAAGACTAATCATTAGAAGCTCCCACGGAGGAAGAGTTGTGGCAGAGCTGTGACCTTCCCAATAAATTTCCCAGTTTGAATTGCATGGCATTTTTTAGGTGTTTTTAAAATACGTATATATCTATGGATGCTCCTGAAGTGCCCACGCAGACGTGTTTCCCCTTTACCATAAGCCGCATGAATTTGCAGCGGAGTATCAGATGCACATAGGTTTCAACGGCAAACGTGGTTTTCTGGCATTTACCGTAACAAAGTCCCTCATATTAAAAAAGAAAAGTTGTGATAGGGAAGCAGCTGTGTTTAATACTGCTTAGCGTGTGGCAGGATTGCACAGACATGTGCCCAGAGTTCTCCCAAGCCAGTGTTGTCCAAACTTGGCCACTTTAAGATGAGTAGACTTCAACTCCCAGAATTCCCTAGCCAGCCATGCTGGCTGGGG